CACCTGATGGTTTAATATTTACTTATAAACAAGACAACTCATAGAACTGTCTATAGATTTACTATTACATAGTAAATATTACATAGACTTATTCTTATGGAATACACTTAAAGAATGCACCTTGAATGGAGGCAGTGCTCAATAAATGTTAGTTGTGGTAATAATAACTACTCTGCAGGCAAGTGGGGAGCCCCGCACAGTTTAGATCTTGTCATTGTTCCTGATCCCAAGTTGCTTAAAGTCTTCTAGAGATAAGACTTACCCATAGAACAATGAGAAAAAATTTTAAGGTACAAGACTTTTATTACAGAATTTATAATAAAGCATAAAACTAAGTATAATCCAGTGCCACAAGGTATAAAATTAAAAGTAAGAGCTATAAAGGATTAGGAAGAAGATGAATCTAATTTGGCCTAGGAAATCATGAAGGGCTTCTTGGAGGAGGTCAAAGATTGATATTATAAATATACAAGACAAAATATATTTATTACAGGTTCAATATCCCTAATCAGAAAATCCAAAGTGTGAAATGCTCTGAAATCTAAAACTTTCTGAGTGTCAAAGAGAAACTCAAAAGAAATGCTCATTAAAGCATTTTGGATTTTGCTTTTTCAGATTGGGGATGTTCCATTGTTAAGTATAATGCAAATATTACAACCCACCCCCCCCACCCCCGCCAAAATTCGAAATCTAAAACGCTTCTGGTCTCAAGCATTTCAGATAAAGGATACTCAACCTGTATTTTCAGATTTCAATCACATATACATTTGAATACACAAGCTTTTTATTTTTTATTTTGGGTCATGGTCAAAAAAGGAAAATCAATGTGATTCCCCTTGAAGCCAGAAGTATCATGTGAAAAATTTGCTATCTCTAAAAACTTGCACCTTGAGACAACATCAGCTCCCTGAGGGCAGACTGTCTGCCTGGTTTGTTCCCTGATGTGCCTTGTACTTAGAAGGCCATTAAATAAATGCTTATCATATGAATACATGTACGAAAAGATGGCACACAGTTCAACACTGCTCAATTCTTACAAAATAAGACCTTCATAGTTCCTTAATGGAGGTGTGCCTGCTAGCATCTTCTCCACTAACTCTACATGCATTTTGCTAATAAAGCATATTATAGCCTGTGAAAGTAATGCCTCATATAATTTAAGTTTTCAAATGCCTAGAGTAACTTAAGGTAATAATACTATATACCTACAAGAATTCTTTGTAGGAGAGTAAAAGTGCCTTACAGGTTTTATTTAATTAATCTTCATAGTAGTCTAGGGATTTAGAGGCAAGCAGGTATTATTTATTATTAGTTCTATTTCATAGTATAGAAGAAAAAGACCCAAAGGCTAAGGTATTTCCCACGCATTTGAAAGTTTGGTTAAATAGACATTGATACTGTTAAATAGATACTGATACCTTTAAAAAAGCTTTTCATCAGGTATAATTACTCTCTTTTCTACTTTCCCCCAACCACCTCTCTTTCCATTCTAGCAAAGATGAATTTCTGTTGCTCACTTTAGTTTGATACTGAATGTTGTCCTTTCCAAGATAAACCAGGCTATTCCATACATTGTATGTTGAATAATTGCCCATTCCACACATCTGAATTTGAATCACTCCCCCTACCTTTTTAAAAGATTTAATTTAGCTTTATCTTTTTATTAAAGTAAATAACAAATAGAAGATTTTTAGTCTTGGAGATTACTTCTAGTAATTCTAGATCAAATACTTATGTTTTATATATTGTATTTTCACCTATAGAGAAGTACCTGATATGAAATATAAGGGCTTAACTCTTTAACTGCCTTCTCTTTAGCTCTTCCCAGAGTTTGATGTGAACATCATTATTTATTTGTTCTTTTTTTGTTTGTTTGTTTCTGGTTCTTTAAAAGGATACATTCACTTAAACTTCTGGGCACTGTACTGAATACACCAGCTCTACCTCCTCTGCATCTGTCCGCTGGCCTTTTCTTGTCTGGCAGTTACATGTTATTGATTAAACAACTACATTTGATTTCCGATTTAAGCCATTTGTTGTAATCTGTCATATTCACTGGAAACACTCCTATTTTCTTCAAACTATGGGGCTATTTCCTAAGGAGACCTCTATCTCCTATTGACAGGGTCTCAGTAGAGACCTGCTTAGTCTGCCATTTTGAGCCAGGAGTAACTCTTTCATGTCTTTCTTGCTTAATATATTCCTTTTGCTTTCCCAATCAATAAATTCTGCAACAACAAACATTGTTTTTTAAAATTTATCTCAAATAGTTTATGCATTTCAATATACTTAGTGTTAAAAAAAAATGGGGCTGATTATTTATGTGAAAAAAAAAACTGTATATCAAAATGTATCCTATTTATTCATCAAGACACAATTACCACAACTAAAACTATGGACCACACTAGGCTCAGTAACAATGGCATATAAAAATGTTGAACTAATAATGCAAAAAATCTATTATGGTAGATTGAGAATTAATCAGAAGATACGAAAAAGAAAAAATGCAAACCTTTTGTTTGTTATTATTTGCCCACTGATATCTCAAGAAACTATAATTTCTCTCTAAAAATTCTAAGCATTTCAAGTAGATCTGAGAAATAGTATGGGTTTTTAATCTGGGACTTTATTATTTCAGTTACAGTAAGTCTCTCCACCTTCTAGATTTATTTTTTAAAAAAACCTTTTACCTATATTAAAATTTTCATATTTAGAAAAATAGTTTTGGGAGGACTTTTCTATATGGTTAGGTCTTGGATCAATGAACAAAGAAAACCTTCTCACTTTAAGAATCCTATTTCAGAATAAGGGTTCTGTCATAGCATTTTAAAAAGCCATTATGATTAGACCTTTCCTGTGACAGAATTTTTGTAAAATGTCAGTTTGGTCCTACCTAACCATATCAAAAGACCTCATAGTAATTGTTCCAAATGTCAGAAATATGAAATTTCTGTATTTTTTTCATCTCTTTATACTACTAATTTTCTTAGGAAAACATACGTACATATTTATTACCTTTGTCTTATGTTCATCTGCCTATGTATATAAGCCCCTAGAATTCTATTATTATATCTACATATTTGGAGTAAGACTTCGCTTAGAAATTCAAGCACTCAATGCAATCAACTGATATCTATGAAGTAAACTCTCAAACTAATTGTATTTAGGGACTGAATTATTTTATATAACTTTTACAGCTTTATTAATTCAATATCTCAAGATTTGTTTCAGTAAGGACCTAAATATCTCTGAGATAAGAAGCAGGGAATATGAAGAAAGTTGTTTTTAGAAGTGGTTCTTAAAGACCCAGCTGCTGCCACCTTCTTCCTTAGCATGGATTTCCTTCTCACATTATGGTTCACTTCTTTAAGTCATTTAGCTTTCTTTGTTTCTTTAGCTTGAGAAAGCTCAAAATGTTTCCACTTCATCAGAGCTAAAAGGTCCACCACTGCATTAACTTGTATGTATCAAAACTCTGCATTCTTAAAAGGGGGTAGAACTTCTCACTGAGAAGAGCCCAAGTGGCTAAACTTTGAGTAAAGGAGGTGGCAACACATCCTTTTCTTTGACTAGCATATATAAGTCCTATAGACATTGACTGGTTTACATTTATACTTGAAAATTTAAAAGAATGCTAAAAGATGCTGGGAATTATAATCTAATGGGTTAGAAAAGAAGATGCTGACTTTTACAATGCAATACATTCTTGGAAATCATATGAGTCATACTGTGTTGAAAGGCCAAGTGTGCATTACTGTTCTAATATTCACCTTTGGAACAAGCCTGGGATACTCTACACTGAAGTCAGAGTCTGATTTGCCATTAGGTAGCAGCCATGTGTTAGAAAGTAAAATGATGCCTGACAATACTATTGTGTTAGGAAGTACAAACATGCAGAATAATGAGTATGCAAAGGCACAAAGTGACACATATATTTTTTTCAGCTAAAGATTAGCACAATGTAAATAACTACCAGCACACACCAATTTACACATTTTTTGCTACACTGAATTACACAGAATCAAAACAATTAAGTTAAATTCAAAATATAGTCAACAACTATGGATACCAAATGTATCCATATATATGTAAACTTTATAGAAAAGCCTTTTATGATGTGAATAATTTCTACAGTGTCTACTAAATCCACTGTTTGAATAAGCTTCAACTGTAATTTATATGACATAATAACAATATTGAAAAAAAGTAAGAAATATAGATCTGCAATAAAATTGAGTTGACTGCTATTTTGCCCCAAACAGCAATTCTGACTGAGGACTGAAAAATTTCCATCTCAAGAACCTGAATGTGGTAAAATAACATGACCTGCAGGTTAATTCGACTGGCCTCTGTTAAATGGGTCTGGAGAATAGAGGAATTCCACAAATGCAAACCATGCATGGTTAACTGCCACTACCTACCCATCAAAATCACACCTAAAAATGTGTAGCAAAAGCAGTCCAATAACCAGATCATGAAACCAAGGTCATGAGATTCCAGGTTCTTTTCCTTTTCCATTTTAAAGAATAAAACAATTCTGAAATGCCATGTTTCCTGATTTTCAAAACAGGAATTTGGAATTATTCAGGTACTACAGAGACCAACAGTTGCATATTTTTTACTATCATCTTTCCATTAGCAAGTCTAAAGGAGAATAACACAAAAGCAGAAAAATGTTTTGAACAGAATAAATGAATTATAGCACCTGATTTGCACACCTATGATACAGTCATAGTAAATGCCAGTTATCTGTGCACTGCATTTCTTACTCCTAGGTTCATGGAACCTCCAAATCTGTACCCATGCCCTTTTGGGCTTATTACACCACTTCTGTTACCCTCAATGCACAAGATGCACTGTCAGATATTAATGAGAACAAATTATAAAGTTTGTTCATGAGCTGTTGAAAATGCAGAATGAACAATGTGAACAGAATATGAACACCTGTGTTCTCAATCCCCAGTGTGAGCAGAGAGGAGAGTGATAAGGCACTGGCTTACCTCTGGTGTGCCAAGAGCATGTTCTCCAGCTAACAGCAGCATGCTCAGGCCTCCCATTTGAGTAGGATCTAAATAAGTCAAAAACAAATCAACTTACAAGCATGAAATATGTATAATCCACAGAGTCAAAAATAATACCCATGAAAAAAAGCAATCACAAATCCAACAGAACCACATATAACTTTTCATGAAAAACTTTAAAAACCCTTCATGTAACAATAACTAGGCATCTACGTCCTTAGTGCTCATTATTTTGGTGAGCCTTGTAATATCACTGTTGTCCCACCAAATCTAACATAGCACTTTCCTCCTGCTGTGTATAAACTACCACAGCAGTTTATAATATGAATTATCTCCTAATGTGATGTTTCCTTCCTCACAGCATGGGGAGTTTAGATGGCATCTTTTTTTAAACAAGAGTGCTTATGTTTGTCTTCTAAGAAGTTTGAGATTGTTATTCTCAACTTGTTATTTCTGCCATGTGAAATCAGTGCTAATAAAAAGAACCAGGCTATCAGAGCACTGGAGAACACAGAGAAATTTTCCAAATGGGCCTCCAAAATCTGTGGGCTTTGTTTAAATAATCTTTTTTTTTAAACTTTCAAAAGAAATTTAAATTAACTGATATATTTTTGACATTTTAAATCTAAGGGGTTGTCAGGCTCTTACTCAAAATACCTTTAAGACCTAAAATTAATCCTTTCTATGTTACCAAACATAAAACAAAAGGTCTTTATTTTCATTCTTTCAATAATTAGCAGAAACAGAAGGACAAAATATGAACAGCAAAATGATAGACCCAGGTTATATCTAAACAAATATCCTTTAAGGTTGTCTTAAATGAATTAAAAATTCAGAACTGCAATGAAAGAACATATACAAAAATGCCTCTAACTTAGTGTCTTGCCTAGTGCATAGTGGTCCTCGATCAATGAATATTTAATTTTAAGACTCTCTACAATTGAAAATGAGGATCAGTCATAATGTTGCCCAAAGACATTCAGTTGTTTTGTTAATAGTTTTAAGTATTTAAGTTTTAAGTATTAAAACATCTTTGTACACAGTCTGTCTTGGAACTTCCCTGTCTTGGGAACTCATAAACCAACTCTGACCACATCTTACATACAATTATTTTTTACAAATTGCAAAAAGAGGTTATTAGAGGGAAAAATATGTTTCAAAATGATCAAGTAATAGTTCAATGTTAGCAGGCAGCCACACAAGAAGATATACATAGAGAATAAACAGACAAACACTGGCTGATTTGATGAAACAAAGCTCTTTGGTGTTGTTTTAAGATTCCAACTTTAATTAAATGTTAAGCTTATGAACAATTGTGGCTGTCAAAATAGATACTTATATCTACTTAAAAGTAAATATCAGGAGGGGAAAACGAATTTAGCAGAAAGTAAAAGTTTAGTTTGGTTCTTTAAGAGCGAAATACTTTTGCAGCTGTCATCTCAGCGATCAGAAGGATTGGATGATCGCTTTCTAAAGATAAAAATGTGTTAGTTCACATTACAAAGTAAAATAGGAACATAATTACATGATAATTTATATACTGATGTGACTTTGCAAGAGTTTGCTATATAGATACTAAAACAAAGGCCAAGAAATTATCAACATCCTTCATATTAATTTAATTTTACTTATATAATGTTATCTAGAACTATCAAAAATATATTCACATAAATAGCATGCTTTCCCCTCACTGAGAAAGCTTGTACTAAATTAAATTCTACACAGCTTTCCTTTCTCGGAAACCATATATTTGACAATACTGGGGTTATTCAAAATTGCAAAATGTCATATGACAAGGATTACTGAGCAAACAAAACAAAACAAAAGAGATTCCATGTTGAGAGAAACAATCTGGCTTTTAAAAACCTTCTAGTATCCCCTAGATTCAGATGCCTAAGCGCTAGGTTTTAATTAAAGGCAAATTAATTTGCTTTCATCTTGTTGAAAGGGACCTACCTGGAAATATCAGACCAATGTTATCCACTATACAAAAGCTTAACAAGAATTCTGATTAGGGATTTCCAACATATGACACAGGCCATCATATGATGAGATAGATTCGAGGAAGGTGTTTCCCTTCTTTCCTGGACTTTGCTTTAAGAATACTGCTTTTAAAAAAAACTGATCTGTAAATATTTTGCTTTAAGTCTTGGTTCTACTTTCAATTTATAGGTAAAAGGCTGATTAATAATGTGTCAGAAATGGTGCTACAAAAGACATCCTTCATAGCTTTCTCTAGTTTATTTACAATTATTATTTGGTTTGTGAAGAACATGCTGTACTCATAAAAAACTCTATATACACTGATCAAGGTTGAGAATCTGGAGAAAAAGCAATGGATGCTAAATGATGATCAAAGGTAGTCATCTATATACCCTTTCTTTGTTCCAATGATAAAATGTTTTAGAAAATATTCGAACTGATACAATCTGGGAACTCCAGAAAGCTCACCAAGACTATCTATCAACAAGTGGGTTGCAGCTAAAATTGTACAAAGTGACAGCTAAAGTGAGGACAGCTCTCTCCATTTTCTTCTAAGACATACAGGAGCTCACCTAGAATTACACCACAGACATCCACATAATGATCACCCCAAGATGAAGACTTTGTTTCCCCAGAATGCTGCCATAATGTTAGACTTCTTCATTTTTCAGCATTTATATAGAATACTGCTAACATACTTTTAATATGATGACTCACACACTGAACTATAAAGTCCTGTTAAGTCTATTGGCTATTTTTTAAAAAAGTGTCATCACAATATTGCTCAACTTCATTTCCGAACCTTTGCATATTGCAAATGGTTTAATACTCTGATTTTGAAGAAAATTTGCTTGTGATACTAAAATAGGAACCCTATAGATCAATAGCAACTTCACTGCCTCCGCTCTGCCCAATCTCCCAATTGTCTTCTGACAAATTTCCCTTTTGACTACTGCCCTGCAACAGCCGGGGAAGATAAAGCCATTTGCAGGATGAATAAAAATATTTTATTTCATGGTAATAAATGCTTTAGCATTCCTCACCACCCAAAGAGTTTTAAAGGTCCCATAACAAATGGGACCATCTGGAATTTTAAATTTGCCTGGCTCATATAGGAATGGGCATGAGAGGAGAGGGCAGGATGAAAATGTTCTTTAAGACACAGCTGTCAGATCCATCTTCGTTATGGAGTTGCTCATATTCTTGCCCTCAATGTTGCACATACTCAGATGATCTATATAATTATGGCTTTTAAGTATCTATGGTAACTAAGGTGCTTACTGGGATAGCTTACCAGTGTGTATGTGTGTATAAGCTATTTTATTAACATTATAAAATTCCCTAAGCTCCTAACAATCTCCACACTGTTATCTGCTTTTCCCTATTGTCAATGTCAGGAATTCACATATATCTATAATGACTCTACCACTTGGTCTGTATCTCCTTTCTTTATTATATATACATTCTATGTATATCATGCTCCAATCCTTTAAGATATACCCATAGTTGCCATTGCTTCATATTGCTCGTGAATTTTGCTCCCCTCTCTGTATTATTTGTTAAAAATACTGCATAAATATGTTACCCTGTCCTTAAAGAAAGGGTAGAAATAGTGTCTCAACTCACCAGCCATTCCAAAGTTAAGCTGAGGCATTTCTTCAGTCTTTGCTTTCTTGGGGCTTGGCAAATCTCTTGAAGATTCAGATGGGAAGGCCCAAAGTTTCTTTCGTGGATTGACAGTGGGTGTTGGGGATTTCACAGGCTTGTTTGTGGTAGGACACCATTTGTAGCCAGGATTTGCTTTCATAAATGCATCTTTATACTATAAATAAAAGAACAGAGAATAGATTTTAATTGACATAGAGATTGAAAAAGTACTAATAGCCTTCACGCCATTCCCCTATTTAGATAATGAGTGAGAAAAACATGTAGAGTGACTTCGGTGGCTCTCCTTGTGGAAGGATGACAATCTCAGCACAGGGCCATAGAGACAGGACATGGAGTTATCTTCTGGAAAGTCGACTGTAAGATGAAGGTACAGAGGCCACACATTTTGTATCTCTTAATAATCTTCAATTTTTTGTTGTTGTTAGAATTCAAAAACCTACCTGACTTTGGTGGGGAGAGGGAGTTGTTTGTAATGGGAAAAGTCTAGGGCTGTGGAGACAGAAAAAAAACAGGTTCCACCTGGAGCTATGGTGACTAAGAACAGAGAATGTAACCTTTCTGGGCCTCAAGCTTAGATTCCATAAACTGAGAATAATATCACAAATGCCTAGGGTTACTGTAAACAGTAGTGCAAAGCACAGCATCTATTTCAAAGTAGGGTTCAGGTACACATTACAAAGTGTGAGTCAACATTAAGACCAGTAACCAGATTCTGTCCACTGCTTAATTTAATTTGGTTAAGTATGACAAAAAGTTAAATCTGTGCTTTGATGTACTAGTAAGATAAATGCAGGCAAACTTAACAGAGCACAGTATTTGATTATGGGATAAAGGAGCCCAGATCAAGAGTGGGAGAAAGGGAACAGGGTAGGCCAAATGACACATAGTTATCTGAAGACCATGTAAGGGAAAGAGCACTGGATATAGAGTCTGATGACCTGGGTTCAAAACACACCTCTGCTTTCGTTAGGTGTTTAACCTTTCTCAGCCTCAATCCCTCCATCTGTACATATAACCACACTTGTCAACATTCCAGGGTTCTGTAATGAGCACACATGACCAAATATATGAGTGAGCTCTAAGAGCATGATGTGTCATGTTGTGACAGAGCCATCACAAATTTAATGTCTTACTTGGAGGTTTCAACTTTCACTGACATCTTTGTTTCTTCATTTTTTCTGTGGCTTTCACCTGTTACCTTTTCTCCCAACTCTACTATCTCTTTCCCCTTTCATGACAACATTAAATGAAATATATATATAATACTATATTACAATATAATATTAATATAAACTATATTAATATATCACCAAAAGTTATGTTATCTTATAAAAATGTATTTTCCATGTATTTTTCAACTACTACATATTATTACTGCTGGATAGATTATTAAATTAATACAATTATTTCTACTGTATAAACTTGCCTTTTAAAATGATGACTCTATATGTGACATTAACTAATTTAGTATAAGCTCCAAATAGCTTTTAATTTTACCCAACAGAAAAAAAGTCCCTTTATCCTTGGTGTAAGGAAAGTATATGTAATCTAAATAAACTTTTTTCTACCATTTCACTTTAAATAATATAAATGAAAACTGCAACATATATAATAATGCAATCTTAATAGAAAATGGTCTAGAATTATCCTAAAGTTATCTCACCTCAAATTTTCTGAATAATCCTTTTTTTTAACCTCTAAGATAAAAATCCTATTGATACATGGATGCATGTAGAAGGAAGGTAAGCATAAAAAAACTATAAAACATGGTCCTATTTTTCTCACAAAAATAATTAAATGGGATACAAGGCCACAGCCAAACTAGAATTTACCATCACAAAGCAGAATATATTTGGAGGTATCAAATGTGATGATATAAGAGATACACTACCACAGTGCATTCATGTGCACGGGGGATTTACATATTAAGCTGAGGCAGACAAATAGCTTTGCCTGCCGTCTGGAGGTAGAAAGTGACAAATGGTAGAGTGAGGTGAAAATGGAAGTAGCAGACACATGCATCATTACTGTGTCCCAGTAAAAGCACACAGGCTGGGTTTGTCAGATGAATAGTCATTTGAACAAAGGTCACCACTCCATAAAGTGACAAAAGACTTTCAAACAAATTGATTAACATATTTGCCATGAGAAATGAAATTATCTCTCTTTTTTTCTGGTAGTTTAAAATTTTTAAGAAGACAGTCACAGTTGAGAAAGATGCTAGACTGATATCACTAGAGCTCTGATTTTTTGTTTCTTAGGTGTCCTGTCCCCACTTCCCAATGTTGTTCTGCTGTATACTCTTTACCAGTAAGATGTCACATCCTTTGCAAAGAATCATTTAGTGATTTGCTTTGGTGAAATTCAGTAAGTGTGATGGAAATGATAATACCAGCATCCTTATGAATGAATTATTGCTAGTTTATCAACTATTTCTAAAGCACTGATGACACTAATAAAGGCCAGCTTCAACTAACTTATGGCAGGCCTTATGGCAGCTGGTGCTGAAAACAACATGAAACAGTTACAATCACCACATCAAAATCATTTCACTTTCTCTTGCACACACTCCCCCAACCCACCTCCATCTCAAATACACTGTAAGCATTGACTAGATGACACATTCTTGTTAGACACTGGAGATAGAAAAGAGCAGGAATTAGAGTTGCTATTTACAATTGCTTACATTCCATAATTAACTACACAAACATATTTGTTTTCACATGTGGCCTCTAAGGCTGGACCATGGCTTTCCCTGGCTCAGGCATGAAAAATGGTTTTGCAATGGGTCTGCAAAAGGAGAAACTACCTATGAGTAGAATAACAGAGGGCAAGAGCAATGCCTATAATATGTGGGGCTTTATGGAAAATGATAACACAATTTATTATGAGGGTCAATGCTCTGTAACTGTATCACAACGTTAATCTTGCAGATTCTTAAACTCCATGTAAATGTTTGAAACCTAGACAATATTAATCAGTTCAATTAAGAAAGTGGGAGAACAGAATAACGCATAGTCTCTATCCTTAAGCAGTTTAAAGCTTAGATGGAGATGCCATAAATTCATATAAAAACACAGGTGAACATAAAGCAGTGCATGAGCATCAGGTGAGGGCAAGAGCCTGCTGAGGCAGGAAGAGCCTCAAGCTGTGAGGATGTCTATCTGTCCGTGGAACTTGGCACCTCGTCAATCACTTGCTCTGACTCAGCATAAGAGACAACAGTAGAAAGTCTTAATCATTTGTTGTCATGAGATTATTAGGAAAGGGATAAAAGAGAAGACTAGGTAAGGGAGAAATGGGGAAAGACTTTGTATATACTAGTTTGAAGCAAATAGCTGAGTGAAACTATTAGCACGCAGGTCAACATGCTGGCAAAATCCAAAGGGCCAAAGAGGCAGGCCCCACCTTATCCAGACATCCAGGGCCAGGCTGTTCATGCTAGGGGTGGGAGAGGAAGCTCACTTATCCCCCAAAGACTTAAAACAGACTATTGGTCCTAAGATTTCAATGAAAGACTCTTGTAGATAACTAAATTCTTGCTAAAGTTCTGCTTTTCAAAATTTTTCCTTTAAAATAAAAATTTACCTATAGTTTCCAATTTCTTTCTGCAAATTTCCAACCGATTAGATAACCTGAGTGAAACCTACTCTACAGACACAGTTCCTGACTTATTTGAGGCACTCAGTACATGCTGGCTTTCTTCTTTCAGACCCAACCACCACCATGTTTCACTGACAAGAATAATAAACCATAAATTCAGTTACTGATTTTATTATTATTCAGTATTGGCATCACATGTATACCCTTTGTCATAGTATTTTGCCTGCTTAATAGCTAACAAAGGTATTATTATGTAACAAGACAATATTCTGTTGATCTTTAAAAAATAGAGTCTCAACAATAAATACTTTTCCAGATCATTTACAAAAATGGAAACTGGATCTTAAAAAGCACGTGAATTTTAATGAAAGATATACTTACCAACTGTTCTCCATCTGTCATTTTTAATCGGAAAAGGGTGCTATCTACAAGTCCACTAGTATTTCTAGCTATTATTACAGCCTAGATCTTCTGAACAGGGTGAAAGAAAAGTGGTAACCCTAATGAGACCTAGTAAAAAGGGACCCCGAGAATGTCTGTGTAAATAAAGACATGACTCTGGTATAAACATGTGAAATAGCACCATGAAATAAAATCTGCCAGAATAGTGAAAAAGAGATTATACAGGAAACTGTCTGATTATTAAAACAGGAGTATAACACATTTTATTTTATAATCATACATTCTACAGAGGGTTAAGTGAACCTCTAGCATAAAAAAGCCTGAGACAGTTGTACCTCTTCCCATCCACAAGCAGAAATCATATTATACAAGGGTGGAAGAGGAGAAAATGATATTTGAGAAGCGGCATTAATCTGTACTTCCTTAGTTTGAGGACTTTTCCTTTTAAATGAAAATTTTTAAATTATCATTAGGATAATACAACTCAATGCACTATCTATTATGAATTATTCCCACTAGCTGTTTTCAACAGAAAGACAATTTCATATAACAGGACAGTAAATTAAGTTTACTGTTTTGACCAAACAAAAACATTTTAAGTCATAGATTAACTTGACAAACTTTCATGATTAAGCCAATCTAAGAGAAATTGTACACCTGAAAAAATGATTCCAATATGTGACCAAGGAATTATTTGGTTGTTCTATTGTGGAAAAGTCATAAAGGAAACACTGAAAGAGAGGAGACTGGCTACTTAAACTGGCCATGAGGGTAAGGATTATTATGGCAACTGTAATTTAATATATAAATTTTTTTTTAAGTATAATTTTACTCCCAAATTTAGGTAATTAGGGGAAAAGTCAGTTTAATCACTGTGTACTAATTTTTTAAAAAATCAAAATTTAAGAATTTCTTTATATTTATGTTTGTAACTTTTTAAAAAAGTAGGCAGGGAGCTGGTGAGAAAACATTACCTAGTAAAGGTCTTTTCTAAAGATGAATTCAAAGGTAAAAAAAGAAGCATAACTGACATGTTAATTAATTTGAATTATAAAATGTTTATGTTTTAAAAAATATGTTCACTTAGGGTTAATAATTTAACACTTGAAACTTTCTTCTTACAAAATAGTTTAAAGCATGAATTGACAA